AAAAAAAAAATAAATAAATTAAAAAATCATACATCTCAAAAAAGTGCACTGAAGTTCAAACTTCGGTTTACCCGTTTCTCTGAACTTTTACGGTTTTCGTAAGACTATAATTTGCTTTACTTTAACATAATTATTCTAACACAATTCACTTACGAAGTTCTTTTTTGTCTCTCCGCAAGACACTTTTGACGTTCAGCCTTCATGTCAACGAAAGCGTATAGTTTGACGAGACTATAAAATCATGTTTGGAACAACAGTGACGATAATGAGCGGCAAGAGAAAAAAATTAATAAAGCCACCTACATCGTTGCTTTTTTTGACACCTACAAAACAATCTAATAGTATTAGTTCATTACACATAAAAGGACACACGCTTCAACTTAAAGGATATAAGTAAAAGTAAATAAATAAAACAAGGATAGAATAATCAAACCCCCTTCATTGTCACTTCACATGTGATGCACAGCATTTCATCCTCGCCCCCCCCCCTTCCCTTGCACCCCTGTTAAAATAATACGATTTACTTACCAACAATTTTCTTGAAATTATAGACCCTCGCTCGATATGTCTCCGACACCTCGGTCCTTGACACACAGTCTTACTACGGTATAGTTATATCCATCTAACGGTAATGATGAGAGTGAGCATGAGGTGTCATTTTCGCTAATTTGACAGATGAGCTTCGGTCAAGAAGTTTCCTGGACCTCATCACCATAGTAATATACAAGTACATTATTATTCTACACACGCTGGTAAGAGTACATTTTTCTTAGAAGTGCGCTCCGTAGTAGTAGTAGTAGTAGTAGTAGTAGTATAGGGTTTTACGGCGCTTGCAACTGCGTAAGATCATATGAGCGCGCGAAACACAAGTTGTTTACTTTCGCAAAAGTTCACTGCACGATTGCGCTCCATTAGCTCAGTTGGCAGCGTGCTAAACCACGAAGTGGGTGGACCTGGCTCGCATCTCCCACTGGGCGTGCTGACCTTTTTGCTTTTCTTCTTGGGGGTGGGGGGTGGTGGGGGAAGGGGGTTAAGCTTTAAGCTTCCACTCATTCGGACAGGTCCTATTGGAGACGGATGTTAGATTTAGAATTATTTCCTCTTAAATATAATCGTACCTAGTAGAAAGGGGCGTTAAAGCTACAGTATACAAATTGGCAACATGTTTTAGAAGGAAAAGAGCACAGCAGTCTAGGACTGGAAGTTCCTCCACATAACAGGTTGACTTTTTCAGTGATCAGTTGAGAAACCAGCAATCATCGAAGTAGGTTAATTCAGTGTGTAAGGCTATTGGCCCACACCACATGATATAAAACACTCATTTATTAAATAAAGTAAACAGGTTGACTTGGGACTTAATAAAGATAGATTATAAATAGCATCTTTAGAGCGCACTTCCTCGGTGAACAGCAAGCTCCATGGAAGACACTAGAACACTCAGAAACAGTCTCGGGCTCCCGGGAAGCATACAGTGCAAGCAGCTGATTAGACTCCTGAACACTAACAAACTGACAAGATCGTTCACTGTCTATAGCCGGGTACGCATTTCCACACGAGCAAAGTGAAAAAAAATGTGTAAAGTGCACAAGAACACAACGTTGGACCCCTGACAGGATTCGAACCCATAATCCAACAGTTGCGAGACCTAAAGCCAAACCAGTAGGCCTGTAAGAAGCTAGTAACTCACCTTGTTGGCGACCACGGAGATGATGAGGGTACCATTGCCCACCAGTCCGACAACGAAGATGATGCCGAAGACGATGGGAACGAGGATGCCATCGAGGTCAGAGTTAATCCCCCACCTGAGGAGAGAGACAAGATTCACTTTATTATTTTTTAAAATTTATTCTGCAGTTGTTGTTTTTGTTGTTGTTGGGTTGTTGTTGTTGGGTTGTTGTTGTTGGGGGGTTTTTTGGGGGGGAAGGGGGTTGTTGGTTGTTTTATTTTTGTTTTTGCTGCTCATGCGTGTGATGTGCATGATAAAGTAGTTCTTTTAACAGATGCTGCTTATATTTTTGTTACTGTTCATCTTGTGTATTTTTGTTAACCCATTCTTTTAAGGCAAACTTTTGTTGAAACGACAGAAAAGTAGTCAAAATGAAGAGGAAAGAGTCTGTTTTAGGCAGGTGAGAGAGAAATCTCAGAATAGAGGCAGACTTCAACCCTAGCTGTCGGGGCCAACCCGGGCTGAGAGGAAAACAACGTCCTTGCAGAAAGACCGAGATACTCGATAAAAGTTATCGTCACGCGCCACTCGATCTCGGGTAGTCTGCTTGTGACGGCGTTGATTCTAACCACCAGACCACAGAAGCCAATTCGGAAACAAGTGATTAAAGAAAAAAAAACTTGTGTAATTTTGATTGATATATTTTTGGTCTTTCTTCGAAAAAAAAAAATTCGCGAAGTTAAAAAAAAGCTAACAGCAATCAACGCAGAGCAAACCAGAGCCCTTAACCAACGCCTGAGGTACTCTAAACACTTAGATTGTTCGTCTGTCCTCTCTTAATGACACGTATTTGGACACCGTCTGGGATTTCTACTATAAACGTTTCCCGCCCTGATTGACGCGCCTTCTAACAGTGCGCCACACTCATATTCTAAGTCGGGAAAAAGTGTATCTAAGAAAGAGAAACAATGGTAAAACAAATGGAAGAATGCTCACGTACCTGTCAAAGGTGTAATCTATCTCGGTGTCGTTGGAAACTTCCGTGGCATTTGCAGAAGTTGTCCCGAAGACATTCGTGCTGTTGTTCGGATGAGACATAGTTCCAGATGTGTAGGGAAGCCGGGCGGATAGTTGAGACAGCGAGCTCAGAGACGCTGCTACTACTGCTGCTGCTGTTGCTTGTTCTGCTGGCGGAGTTGCGACTGGTGACAGAGTTGACGAGGAGGAGAGATCTATGGTCAGTGTCATGCTCCTCTACCTCTCTCTCACCTTTGAGGTGTGAGCGCCGTGGTCAGACTGATTAGGTTTGTCTCGTCACCTACATACATGGGCACGCAGCCACGCTCGCACGCACGCACAACAACGCACACACAAAGACACACACACACAGATAGGCACGTGAGAACGAGCGAAGGAACAAACGCCCGCTCCGCGGCGCTGACTGTTTCTCTATCTACCTCCCTCACCTCCGGACCTGTGAGGTTTTGGCGAGAAGCCAATTAGCACCAGAGCGTCGTGTGACTTGCGCTATCGCACAATGGCTAGGGTTCTGGTTTCAGCCCCAACCACAGCCGGCTTGATAGGATCACAGAGTCGCTGCTGATCTTAGATATACAGCCACAGTAATGAGAACCAGCTCTCCTTTCCTTTTAGGTCTCTCACACTGCGTCGATTCTTCCACTGCTCCTTTTAAATCCAAGAATTGCAACGAAGGTGTCAATCCGGATGAGACTTTGCGGGTGTTGGAAATAAATTATTTAGACAAACGTTTCCGCTGCTATTTAATGCCCGCTCGTCCCAACAGAAAAGGTTCAAACGTATAGTTTCAAATCGCCCCAAAAATTTGACAATTCGTCTGAGTAGGCTTGTCTTAGAACAAAACCCGATCTCAAGAATCTAAATCTTAAAATTCCAAGCTTGCACAATAATCAAGAAAAGAAGAAGAATAAAATCCCCAAAGGGTTGGAATATAATCAAAACCCCTCAAAAAAATGAAGTTATAGGGTCAGCTTCGTCCAAACGTGTTTAGAAATGCTCGTTATCTTGTGTTTCATGGGGCTGTCCACAATCTCCCAGTATCTCCGGATAGAAAAAGGCGTAAAGGACGAGACACAATGTGTCTAGTTTCCTCTTAACTGCATCTGCGAGATATTTCTCTGCTGATTCTTGTCCGCTCCTGTGTTAGAGCACTCGGGTCCCCAGGAGACGTCAGGCTTGTTTAGAGTCGGGGAGGGAGGAGAAAATCTGAGGACAAGAGACAGAAAATGAAAGCGTTAGAAAAATCTTTGTTATTTCTTTTTTGTTTTGTTTTGTTTTGAGTTAGTTTCTTCTCTCGCACGCCTGGAAATAGAGACGTCGGCATATTTCTGGTTGTTTCCGATTTGGGGTTGTTTTTTGGGGGTTTTTTTTTTGCTGAGACAGGTATGAAAGGAGAGAGAAAGAGAATGAGAGAAAGAAAGAAGGGGG